TCTCACGTGATCAAAGCTTCAGCATCTTGTTACGTGATAAAAGCTTCATCTTTTTGTTATCATCTCTGTTGATTTTCCCGCCTCGCAAACCCTAGAGACCAAGAAAACGCAAGAAAGCTTGAGAGAATCATGGAGTCTTCTCCTACCCATTTCTTCGGAGATAATGGCGACGCAGAAAAACACAAACTTGCCTGGCGTTACTACGAACAAGGAGATCACATCAAGGCCTTGGAGGTAATTGAAGATTCGGTTTTGAAGGTCGGTGGGAAACTCAAGCTTCCATCAGATCTTTATTTCCTACAAGGTGATATCTTCATGGCACTAGCGAAAAAATCAGAGAATAGTGACTTGAAATTCTCATTGATGTTGGGTTCTGTAGAATGCTATTTGGAAGATTACATGGAACAAGCATTCGCTGCAATTTCTCTCTTCCATTTGGGCGAGCATCTTGGCTCAGCATTGTATTACAAGAAAGCCTTGAGGGTTGCAAAAAAGAGTTTATCTCTTATGTCTTTTGACCCATCGAAATCGGACCAGCTAATTACTAAACGTACACTTGAGGGTATAGTCGAAAAGGCAGGGTTTAGGATCCTCCATGGTCTTACTGTGAAAAGCTCTGAACCGAAACTGAGGGAGTCAAAGGAAATAAGAATCAAGATAAGGAGTGACTCGCATACCATTGCGGCTAATGAATTGAGGCGTTATTGGGCGGGTATGAGTGCTGAGAGTAAAAGGAAATTCATGAAAGTTAGCACTGTAGAGCTTAGAAGTTATGTCGAGAGAGAATATGGAAGAGAGGGACTAGATGCTTTGGAGCAAGTTCTTGACTCTGCAAGGATAAACAGAAAATGGAAATTCTGGATGTGTCGAACTTGTTCACAGAAGTTCTTTTATCCTAAAAAGTTTAAGAATCATCTTGAACAAGTTCATGGCGCAAAATATAAACCTCCGAGAGAAGATTTGGCACAGAGTGTAGATGAAGTCTGGGCTGGTAGGATATCGGTTGCCGATTGGGAACCTGTAGATGCACTAGCTGCTGCTGAAATGATCAAGAACCGTCTTGAATTTGTGAAAGAGTTTGTATATGTGAGTGGATGGTCCAAAGACTGGCCTTTAGCTGCAGATGAAGAGCGTAGGAAATTACTGAAGGAAATCCAATCGCTCCTTGTGTCGTTTTTGGAGCGTAAAATTCTCTCTTGTAGCATTCGAGACTGGATGATGCAGTTTCCTGTTAAGCATCTTGCGCAATTTGAAGTTCCCGAGCACACTCTTACTACCGAGTGCCGTTTAGTGGAAACACCTCAGAGTATCTGTTTTTTGGAATGTCAAGAACTCAATCAAATTCTAGACCTTCTCAAACGCATCAAGTGTGTAAGGGATGATGGTACAGAACTGGTTTCAAAGGCAACAGACAGTTTATGGCGTCATACTCAAGTTAAAGAAAAGATTGATATTGACCATGAGTTTTCATTTATCCTTCTGGATAAAAGATTGCTGAGAGGCAAGATTGCTTCATTCGATGATGAAGGGTCAATAGATGTTTGTGATCACAATGTTCACTACGCCAAGACACATCCTCAGGGCGATGATATCATAACTTGGTTACTTGAAGACTACTCTTTAAGAGAGAGCTTTGGATTCCCTAGATCTATTAGGGCACACAATCTTGATATAAGGATGGCTGTTCTGAGAGCCATTCACTTCACGCGTAGGACTTTGGTAGCCAGATATGCAAAGAAGTGGCAGATCCTATGTTATGATGTATGTCTTAATAAAGCCAAGAACTTATGTATACAAGAAGCTGAAAGGAGAATGAATGTTCCCGAAGATCAAAGGAACATATATGCATCTCTTCTATGCGACAGCTGTGAAGAGCACTTAACAATAAACGTTGAAGACCCTCTTTTTACAGAACTATTCTTGTGTGCAGTACGAGATGTTCTGGATGGAGCATCGCTTCCGACATTTGATTTCACTACTGCAGAAGATTGCCTGAAACTTATACATGGGCATAAAAATATCAGTGATGATATAGTGTTAAAGTCCATAGACCATCTGAAATCAGTGGTCACCAACAAGGTTCAATCACATATATAGTCCATACATCAAAGTTTTAATTTACAACGGAATAACATATATTGTTTTTGTAATATATATATTGACTTGCAGGTTCTGCTAGCCGATTCAAAGATTTTGCTGATTGAAAATTCAAGGATAAATTTGCTTAACGACCTCGTCAGGCTTTCTGTTTTTGACTACCGCTCTTATATCCTTCCCTTGCTGAAACGTTTTTTGCGGGTTTGTTTTTAACTTTGGTTTTGTGCATAGAGATTTCATCTTCCCTCTGATTTTCTAATTGACAGGTACCTTATATTATAATTCATGTCTTTTCTTCTAGGAAGAGTTGGATGTGATTGTAGATATGGATGCCAAAGCCAAGTTAGCTGCAGTACAAGAAGAACTTTTATCCGAGGAAAAGAAAGAGAAGGAGAAGAAGTCAGGCTCAAAGAAGAAAAAACATAAAAGCAACAAGGTCGTTGATGGTCTATATTCTCTATTTTCTTCTCTGACTTTTTGATTACTCAGTCATAAGAATGATTGTCCTTCATGATGTAACAGAGAACTTCAACGAGCATGTTGAGTCATCTTGATCAGGATGACACACAGTAAGTACCTCTAGATGAGAAATTTGGTTTCCCAATACTCTTTTTGCAAGTTTATAAATTGTTTTAAGTTTTCTCTGAGCAAAACGTGTTCTTAAATATGTCCAGTGAATCTTCTATTAACACTGAACCGGGAATTACATTAAGGACGGAGGAAGAAGACTCTATGGAACCAGAAGAAAGGGGTCGATTGAAAACTTCATCCAACACTAACAATCAAGAGGAAGCTATTAAAGGTGACCCTGGTGGAAATAGAGCTTTGTAAATTACAACTTTTTTGTTTTGAGATGCTCATTTTCTTATTTCTTCATTCGCCATCTTCAAGATTTCAAAAACATGCCTAGAAAAGATCTACTGTCAGAAGATGCAACCAGATACCGTTCATCTCTTGACATGACGCTTAAGGTAAGTCACCAGCAAAAATAAGATTAAAACCTTGACTCTCCTCTACTAACTCAGCTCATTCTTTATTTTCATTTGTCATTTCTTTACCTCCTATTTGCTTTGACAAACTTTGCTACTGCAGGCCCTCTTAAACATTAAGGTTCTTCAAGAAGATTTGGTGCACAATCGGCAACCATTTCATGGCAACTTGGAAGAACAAGTTCCTTATGCACTGCAAAATTTATTTTCTGCTTTTGTCTCGGAACAGATAGCAGAAGAGGGACTCTACAGTTACCTCCTGAGCAACTTACTTGCTTCCATAGAAGGAGTTCATTCCATGGTTTGTGAGGATATATATAAGCTTCTGAGCTTGACTGTCATTCCATAGTCTTGCATATCATTCAATTATTTACTCTTTTCAGTCAAGTGATGCTGCTGAGGTAGTTGTCGCGATCCTCGAGTTTTGTCATTGCTGGAAAAGTCCAGAAAGAGAAAGCTTGGTAACTCGACTTTTTACGTTGGAGGAATATGAAAGAATGAGTTGTAAACAATGCAAAAGGAAGCCAAATTATCCAGAGCAAAGTTCTTATGGAATTGTTATGGCTGCAAATTCAATCAGAAACCTGAAGGTATGGTTCGTTTTCTATATTTTTTATTTCCACAGAAACTGGTACTTAAAATGCTGGGCTGTGGTTATTTATATATGCAGTGTGCTTTTGGGAATATAAAGTTTGAGGACATCCTCAAAGTGGGCCGCATGAAAGATGGAATGATGTGTGATGTTAAAACAGGAGGCTGTGGAGAGATAAACTTTGTTCACCGCACTATAAGTAGATGCCCGCCCATCTTCACAATTGGTAAGTTTTGACCATGATGCGATCTTATCTACCCATTTTTCATTTATTTCGGATGATAAAACATTGTTGCTGTTTTCTTTTGGGTTTGCAACATTAGTGTTGGAATGGGAGAAGAATGAAACTGAAAAAGAAATATCTGAAACAACAAAGGCATTGGACTGGGAGATAGATATCAGCAGGCTATACGAAGTCTTAGAAGAACCAAACATTAAGTACCAGCTTGTGTCAATGGTAAAATCTGAAACATTATCACAAATATTTGTGCTATTCATTTTCTGTATTTATCTGTTACAGTCTCAGAAAATGGAAATGCAGATTTGTTGTGTTGAAGAAGGAGAATACATTTGCGTGGCTTATAAAAAGAACCTGTGGGTCAGTCTCAGACATGAAACTTTAGCAGAAGAGGTAAGACGAAACAGATGCCTTTGTCTTTTATGAGTTGAGTTTTGATAGGTGAGACATGATTGATATATGTGTGGTGATGCTATAGGTTGTTGGTAACTGGAAGAATGTGGTCAGATTCTGTGGAGAAAGAAATGTTCGGCCAGAGATTCTGTTTTACGAAGCATTTCAATGGCCTAACAACAAGTGGCAAAAGTTAATATCAAGGGAAAATCAATATGAAAACCTATCATTCATATAAAAAACACTGGCATCTTTCAATTCAAAAGCAATCGTGTTCTTTGTTCTTATATGAATCTTGAGAAAGAGTAATTCACAGACAGACAAAGGTTGAGCAGAGACCAAAAGGATTAGTGACTTTAAAACCAACTGTGGATTAACAGAGACTATGGCACTGTGAACTATTGTCGAAACATTAAGTGGATACAGTCCTTTTGCAATTAGGCTTTTATTCGACTTTGTTATTGTTTCTGAACATGTGAAGTTTTATTACAATACTTTTATTTTTTGGTCATAAGATATTATCACCGAACACAAAGAGCTGCTCACAAATACCAAAAACTGTGGTTTCAGGATAACATACTTTTACAACATGTTAAAACAAATAAATACTGGCGATGTAAATTGTTTTATAATATATGATCTGTCTACGATATAAAATACTTTGGGAGTTTCTTCAATCAAGTCTCTCGGCTTGTGGAAACTACATTTGTTCATCTACAAAGAAACCTTATCATGTACACAACAAGCAATACGACTGCTACAGCTCAAAACAGACAAAAAACAGTAAATGGTTCAGCTACAAACACATTTTTTTTTATCTTCACTTGAGTATTAGTGCAACAATAGAGAGCCTTCTGCTTCATTCTCGTCTCTTCTTTATCGGTCTCTCTCTCTAATCATCATTTCTCCTCAAAATCAACATCAATGATTTGGGACTTAGGTGGCTTTTTAGAGTTTCCCTTGCTGTTATTGTTGTTGTTGCCATCTTTTGAGAAGAAGTCGCCTTGTGGCTGCCACACTATGTTCCCACATCCCTCGCATCTGATGATTTGGCTCTTGTATCCTATGAACTGCCTCTTACATGCTGGGCATTCTCCCTATGCAGACCCAAACATGTTATAACAGAGCTTCGAAACACAGTTTGTTCAAGATATTTCATCATACATGTCACCCAGAAATAAAATATCCGTTTCATATACTAAATCAAAGAATGTAGACTAAGGACCTGAGTTATATTAGCTATACCTTAATGACGAAATTGTTGGCCACTGCACCAATGAGAAGAGGGCCAGCAATTGGAAGAACCCAAGTCGCGATTATTATTACTCGGAACAGCCATCCAGAGAGGGCAAACCAAAGAAAGAAAATAGTCTGGAAATGAAATCAGAGCATATCCAATATTAGAATTCTAAACACAGCCAGTAAGATTCACTCAAAACCATGTATAGTCAGACAATTCATCGAAGTATATGTCCTTTTGTAAGTTCACTTTATTCCATGTACTCAATGAAACCCATGGAATGAGATAATATAAACCGGGGCAGTGCTCATATTCCTGATAAATCAACATCACAGAAACTAATTCGGTTTTCATAGTCGCAGCCTGTTGTTGCCTTTTATACAATATATACAGAAAATAAAACCCCCAAAAGGTACAGAACTCAAAAGGTCAGACAAATCTTCAATGAGATAACCAGTGAGCTTAAGCAGAAAAGATGTTATTCATATATATACGATACTGCCCTAAAATCTTTCCAACTCAGGCTCAATCATAGTTTAGTAAGAGTAAGAGAAAATAACAATGTAACACTTACAGCAAAACTTCCACCGAGCGGTGTATTCAAGAAAGCACTGAATTGCTTCCTGTACTGTAAGCAAAAACAAAGGGGAAAAATCAGCACAAAGCAAAGAACGAGTCATGTAGGTACAATACAACCAAATCATATCAATGGTCAACTCTTGTCCTCCACATAACACAAAACAGATAACTCTATAAAACCAAAATTGCCCAGGAATGATTCACCATCCTAATCAACCGGAGCATCTAATCGAAAACAAATGACGAAAAATGAACTGAATGGATATCTCTTTACTTCGAAAGAAACGAGCCTATTCAAAAAACATGTCCTCCAATATGTAGGATTCAAATGGCTAGTTCCATTTTTGCTCCATTTGATATATGACATTAGCAACAAGCCAACAATCAAGACTCAGGAATCTAAATCAAAAGTCCTCTCAAAGAATTGTAATCAATACATGAAATTGAGTTCATCTTCTTTCTCAATTCTCACTATATCACTTAAAGTTCAAACAAAAACTCATTTCATAAGTATATACCTTGGGGAAATTTCTACTCAAATCGGCAGAGAAACTTCTAACACGAGGACTAATCCCAAACTCACGATCAATCTCACGAGCACGGTCACCAGCAGAACTAGCAGCGGAGCTAAACCGGCGAGAAACAGCGTATTGCCGATCAATTCGCTCAGCAGTCTTCTTAGCCTCAAAAACGAATTGCTCGAATCCATCGTTAGCGCTTCTCCACGCGTCTCTCCAAGCTTTTCCGGACTTAACGTTATCAGCGAAACGGTCAAAGTCGCCGCGTTGGAAGGCTTTCACCTGTAAGAAAGAGGCGGCGCGTGAAGTGTACGCGGGGTGTGGATAAGGTGTGGTGATGGTGAATCTGGGTGATGTGGAAGGCCACATGAAGTTGCAAGCCTTCATAGTAATCGAAAGACCATGAGATGATTATACAGAGCTATGTAGGAAGAAGAAGAAGAAGCTTTTTTGGTTACTCTTCGCCGTGGAGAAGATGAAGTTGTGCGGTGATAGATTACCGATATAAATCAAGAAACCTCCAAATTGAATTACAGATTTTGTACCGGCCGGTTTAATCACTTGTGGCCTAAATTGAAATGGTTCGATTTTTTTGTGGTTTGGGAAATTACAAAAATCTGACCAAATATAATAAAAATAGTATCGAATGGCTGATGATTAATGCCATAAATTTGGATTTGCTTGATAACGGGATTTGAAGTCGGTCGAGTTTGTAGAAACATTTAATAAACTTGATTTGATAAATTACTAGAACTTTTTTTTTTCTCATTTTTTAATCGATTTATATTCAAAAAGGATCACGATACAAAGCAGTTAGTAATTACAGTGAAATTCAAGAATGGTATATAAAAATAAAATTTAGAAAGTAATTATTCTTCGCGGAAATATCAGCAGGTGCGTTGCAGCTTCTCTTTGTCCATTTGAATTGAGTGTCATCAAACTTTTCCTCTCAATTTTGAACTTTTCTTAACCAATTAAAGACACCAAAGTTCTGTTTTATCCCCTTTATCACGTCAATCAATTTTTTATTATCACCGTCAAAGAAAACTCGTCGGTAGTCTTTACAAAACCAACAATGTTGCATCGCAATAATAAGCGTTTGAAATTTTTCTCAAACGTTTGATGTGGTTTTACCAATAGCTTTCCCCGAACCAACATAGAACCCGTCATGGTCTCGCAAAACTCATCCTACTTTTGAAGAAAAGTCACCATTGACAAAAAAAGGCATCACTTAATCCAAACTGGTTCTGGCCGAGTTTGTTGGATATTTAAGTGTACGTACATCGATTGTTGTTCACGAATGTTGGATATTTAAGTGTACGTACATCGATGGTTAGTGTACGTACATCGACGGTTATTCACCAACCATCACAACTTTTCGTACAAACGGTTATCATATTAAACGTACGGTTGCAAACGTACGTCGACACCGTTGATCACTATAAAACTCTGTTTCTCTTGTGTTAAAACAGAGAGAGAAGGACAGAGCACGAGAGTTTCACAAGATCAAAGATTGAAAGAATCTTTGGTGATAAACACATAAACAAAACACATAATCTCTATTTGTTTCTCATGTATCTTAGCCTAGAACAAGAGAGAACTTTAATTGTCTTAACCTAGAAGGGATTTCGTGTAACCCAAGGCTTGAGAAGGGTCGAAATACTCTTTAAGGAAAGTGCTCACGTGCACGATTCAATCATTTCCAAGTTCACATTCGTTACGTCTCGGTGTTACAACGCCTTCCTACACAACAATCTTAAAGAGTATTTTTGGTGAACAATGGCTAATGTTTCTGTGCGTGAGATGGCAGCAAAGTTTGGCAAATTGGATAAGTTTGAAGGAGTTGATTTTAGAAGATGGCAAAAGAAGATGCACTTTCTCCTCACAACGCTCAATGTGGTGCACGTTCTAAGTGTGCCAATGCCCACCGTGTCGGAGAATGGTGAGAACGATTCCGTGGAGGAGACAGGGAAGCAACTTAAGTGGGAAAACGATGACTACATATGTCGTGGCCACATTCTCAACGGTATGTCTGATTCTCTCTTTGATGTTTACCAAAATGTCGAATCCGAAAAGGAACTATGGGATGCGTTTGAATCGAAGTACATGGCCGAGGATGCTTCTAGTAAGAAGTTCCTTGTGAGTGATTTTAATAATTACAAGATGTCCTATTCAAGGCCGGTAATGGAGCAATACAATGAATTACTTCACATCCTAGGCCAATTCGCTCAACACAACATGAAGATGGATGAATCCATCTCGGTGTCGTGCATCATCGACAAGTTACCACCTTCGTGGAAAGATTTTAGGCGCATGTTAAAACACAAAAAGGAAGAGTTGTCTCTTGTACAACTTGGTAGCCATTTGCGCATAGAGGAATCTCTAAGGGTGCAAGAGGGTGGAAAACCCAAAGATAAGGAGGTTGAAAATTCTTCAATCAATATGATGGAGGAAAGTGGGAGTTCTAAGATGAAGAACAAGGGGAAGAAACGCCCCTTTACTAACAACACCAATGATGGATCTAACAAACGATTCAAGAGCGTTTGTTGGATTTGTAACAAGCCGGGTCACTTCAAACGTGATTGTCGGGCAGCAAAGGATAAGAACAAAACGCAACAAAAACGTTTTGGGCAAGGGTCTAAGGATCAAGGCCCATCCTCTCATCAAGGTCAGAATTATGTTTTTGATTCACACTCAAAAGTGTATTATGTATCAAAAATAGCTGAGGCATTTTATGTGCAGGATGATGAGGTGGCATGGTGGATTGACTCAGGTGCAACAATACATGTTTGCAAGGATCGTGGCTGGTTCAAGACGTACGAGCCGGTTCAAGATGGATCTGTACTCTATATGGGCAACGAGTCAACCGCTCCTATCCTAGGTCGTGGAAAAGTGATGTTAGAATTTAGTTCCGGGAAAACTCTTGATCTTAATGATGTAATTCATGTACCCGGAATTAGGAAAAACTTAGTCTCCGGTAGTGTTTTAAATAAGTGTGGATTTAAACAAGTGTATGAGTCGGATAAGTATGTCTTATCTAAGTGTAGTGTCTTTGTTGGATTTGGATACTTTTGTAATGGCATGTTTATGCTTAATATTAATAAAGTTATCAATTCTATTTACATGGCATGTTCTAGCAAAAATGATACTTCTTTATGGCATGCAAGATTAGGCCATGTGCATTATAAAAGAATGATTGATATGTCTAAAGAAGGATTAATTCCTACTTTTGACGTGAATATAGAGAAGTGTAGAACATGCATGTTGACTAAGATAATTAGACAACCTTTTAAAAGCATTGAAAGAAATTCAAAGGTGCTTGAACTTATTCATAGTGATTTATGTGACTTACATGCTACACCATCTTTAGGAAACAAGAAATATTTCATCACGTTCATTGATGATTATTCTAGGTTTTGTTATGTGTATTTATTGCATGCTAAAGATGAGGCCTTAGAAAAATTCAAGGTTTATAAAACCGAGGTTGAATTACAACATAGTGACTTGGTTAAGAAGTTGCACACCGATAGAGGTGGAGAGTATTATGATCCTACGTATTTTCAGTTCATGGGCATAATACATGAGACTACGGCTCCGTATACGCCACAACAAAATGGTGTATCCGAGAGGAAAAATAGAGTTCTTAAAGAAATAGTTAATTCCATGTTATCTTACTCGGGATTAAGTGACGGATTTTGGAGTGAAGCCATGGTAATGGCTTGTTATTTATTAAATAGAGTTCCCAACAAAAGGAACAAGGTTACCCCATATGAACTTTGGTACAAAAGGAAACCAAACTTGAACTATCTTCGAGTTTGGAGCGGTAGGGCGATCGTTAGATTACCCCAACCAAAGATTAAGACTTTGGGAGAAAGAGGTATTGATTGCATCTTTATTGGTTATGCCTTGAATTCCAAGGCATATATGTTTTATGTCATAGAACCTAATGATTCTATAGCGGTTCACACCATAATTGAGTCTAGAGATGCAATATTTGATGAGAATCGTTTCTCGTCGATACCTAGACCAAAGGATTTAGTTCCTAGTTCAAGTGGAACAAAGGAAGGAGACGACACATTCGTTCCTCCTAACAAGTCACCTACGCTTCGTAAGAGTAAACGAGGGAGAATCGAAAAATCTTTCGGTCCCGATTTTCAACTTTACTTAGTTGAAGGGTCAAAAGATGAGATTGGTTTCCAATACTCATATTGTTATCATATTGATGATGAACCTAGAACTTTTAGTGAGGCTATGACGTCCAATGACGTTATTTTTTGGAAAGAAGCCGTAAATGATGAAATAGATTCCATCATGGGAAATAATACGTGGTTCTTAACGGATCTCCCACCCGGTTGCAAGCCTTTAGGCTGTAAATGGATCTTCAAGAAGAAGATGAAAGTCGATGGAACGATCGACAAGTTTAAGGCTCGGGTGGTTGTTCAAGGTTTTAGACAAAAGGAAGGCATTGATTATTTCGATACATATGCTCCGGTTGTTAGGATCTCCTCTATAAGGTTATTAATTGGTTTAGCATCCATTCATAACCTTGTGATCTACCAAATGGATGTCAAGACGGCATTCTTAAACGGCGTCTTGGAAGAAGAGGTGTATATGAAACAACCCGAAGGGTTTGTTATGCCTGGTAATGAGCATAAGGTGTGTAAGTTGGTAAAGTCATTGTATGGTCTAAAGCAAGCACCTAAACAGCGGCATCAAAGGTTTGACGAGGCTGTCTGGTCAAATGGGTTTAAATTAAATCAGTCGGACAAGTGTTTGTATAGCAAATTTGATGATTCCGGTAATGGAGTGATCATTTGTTTATATGTTGATGACATGTTGATCTTTGGTACCAACCTTAGACAAGTAGAACTTACAAAAGAGTTCTTGTCATCAAATTTTGCCATGAAAGACATGGGGGAGGCGGAGGTGATTCTTGGAATTCGAATCAAGCGTGAGAACAAAGGAATATCTTTAACTCAATCACATTATATTGAGAAGGTGCTTAAAAAGTTCAATTATGAAAATTGTTCTCCCGTGAGCACTCCCATGGATGCGAGCGTGAAGCTTATGCCTAATACGGGACAAGCGGTATCACAACTCGAATACTCACAAGTAATTGGTTGCTTAATGTATGCCATGACTAGCACTAGACCGGATATAGCTTATGCGGTAGGAAAGTTGAGTAGATACACTAGTAATCCTAGTACTCATCATTGGCAAGCTATAAGGCGGGTGCTCAAGTACTTGAAAGGAACCATAAATTATGGTTTGTCATATTTTGGATTTCCTTCGGTCTTAGAAGGATATTCGGATGCAAGTTGGAACACCAACGAGAAAAATCATTCTTCTACAAGTGGTTGGGTGTTCCTACTTGGGGGAGGTGCTATTTCATGGGCATCAAAGAAACAAAATTGTATTACAAACTCTACTATGGAATCAGAATTTGTAGTGTTGGCGGCTGCAGGGAGAGAGGCCGAATGGTTAAGACACTTAGTCTCCGAGATTCCATTGTGGCCGAAACCGGTGTCACCCATTTCTATCCATTGCGATAGTCAAGCTACTTTGGCTAAGGACTATAGCCAAGTGTATAATGGTGAGTCGCGAGACCTAGGCTTGAGACATAGCGGGATACGTGAGTTGATCACTCATGGGGTGATTACTATAGATTTATTCGGTCTCAGCAAAATCTAGCGGATCACTTGACAAAAGGACTAGCTAGAGACTTGGTGATCAAGTCGGCTAAAGGGATGGGATTAAAGTTCATTTGAAATCTCTAATGGTGGGATACCCAATTCCCCTCTAATACAACGTTAGAGGCTAAATTCAAAGCGGAAAGCCCACACTTAGAGATTGAAGCACTAGTTTATATTATCCCAAAGTAAGTGCTTATAGAAAGAAAAGGTTAGTTTGAAGTTTTCTTCTTAATAGATCTTTTGAAAAATTGCATTTTGTAGGTGCAAGATTAAAAGATCTACCTATATGGGTGTGAAGTGTAGCCGCTTCAAGAAGCTCGGACTTGGCTTTGTATACACTCATGAAAGGATAAGGACACATGGCTTATAATAGTGTCAAGGATAAACACTTAGAGTAGTGAGTGAATTCGTGTGTATATAATAGTGTCAAGGATAAACACTAAGATGTAAATTCAATCGTTACGATATTTACATTTATACATGAGTTTGGTTTATGTGTTGTTGATTTTGTGAATCAAAGATTACACTTAAATGGGGGAGGAATGTTGGATATTTAAGTGTACGTACATCGATTGTTGTTCACGAATGTTGGATATTTAAGTGTACGTACATTGATGGTTAGTGTACGTACATCGACGGTTATTCACCAACCATCACAACTTTTCGTACAAACGGTTATTATATTAAGCGTACGGTTGCAAACGTACGTTGACACCGTTGATCACTATAAAACTTTGTTTCTCTTGTGTTAAAACAGAGAGAGAAGGACAGAGCACGAGAGTTTCACAAGATCAAAGATTGAAAGAATCTTTGGTGATAAACACATAAACAAAACACATAATCTCTATTTGTTTCTCTTGTATCTTAGCCTAGAACAAGAGAGAACTTTGATTGTCTTATCCTAGAAGGGATTTCGTGTAACCCAAGGCTTGAGAAGGGTCGAAATACTCTTTAAGGAAAGTGCTCACGTGCACGATTCAATCATTTCCAAGTTCACATTCGTTACGTCTCGGTGTTACAACGCCTTCCTACACAACAGATTCCACCTGTTATTGCCGATCATTGCGAGATTTGTAGTTTTATGGGTACGAGGAGTCGATACAGTTTCAGCTTCAGTCCATTCTTTGGCATCTGCCCTTGCAAGGTTTAGAGATGTTCTCCAGGGGATATGCTTGCGTTGGAAACATAATATGTTTCTACTCTTCCAGATTCTCCAGAGGATCCAAAGAGGAAGTTGACGTAAGTGACAGATTTTCGATAACGAACTGATATGGATTGCTTGGAAGTTTTCTTCAAGAGAGGCGACCGTATCAAAGAGAGTCTGATTTGGGATGCCCGAAAAACTCGCCAAATCGACTTTGCATACTCACAATCAAAGAACATGTGCTTTGTGGTTTCTTCGGCGCTAAGCTACACGTCTTATTCAATAATCTCTTGAGATTAGTTGAGACTTCTTGTAATCGTCCCTACATTAAACATTTAACAAACTACAGTAAGAATCGATGACTTTATTAAAACAAAGCAAGAAAGGTAGTTTTGAATTTTGATTTCTAAACTTAACTAAATAAAGCAAAAAAAAAAAAACAAAAAAAAAACAAAAAGTAGCATGAAAATGACAAACAAGATTCGAATTTATACAAAGAGAAAAACGAGTCAACAAACCAAACCAATTGAAAATTAGGTTAAACAAGCGAGCTTATGGTCATGATAATGAATTCGAGCAAATCCTAATCTCAATAATTAATAGAATCCAATATTTTTAGATACTTAAATATATTAAAAAGGTGAAAGAAAAAAACAACTGAAAAATGATTTATACAAGATTTTATGTATGTTCTTTTCATAATAAAATCTAGGATTTTTAGTAATAAAACCCTTTAACTAAAGATAAATCGTAAGTAAACCCCTCAATTATATATTTAGTGAAAAACTCTCTCAACATAAAATCTGTTAATGTTAATCTCCTTCTGTCTCCAGTGTCGCTAAAATTGGACGGACTACAATGATGAAAATTGGACGGATTACAGTTAAATTAAAACGCAACATTTTTCAGAAATTGAAAAACGACATATATACACTTAAACACGCGAATTGTAAACAAAAACAACAATATATTCTTGTTAATAGCCAATTATAAACCCTTAAATTCACCTAAACTCTAAAATTCTCAAAGTAGAAAACCGAAATTGACGAACCCTAATTTATCAGAATGAGATTCTCTGAAGTTTGTATAAAGTCGAAGTCGATTAGGATTTAGGAGATTCTGAAAAATGTTATGTTTTGTTATAATCATAATCCGTCTAATTTTTACGACACTGTAGAATGAGAGGGATTTGCATTAACAAATTTCAAAGAGTTTTTTCACCAAAAACATTTACAAAAAATGATTTAAATATGAATTTTTTATTTCCATCAAAATTCGACTTAAATATGATTATTTAGCAAAACCCACAAATAAATCTAAAAAACGAAAATAAAAGAAAAAGAAAAACAAAAAAAACGAGTAAACCTGAAAAAGCTCCAAAAATTATTTTGCTTTAAGAGCATCTTCATCAATAGTTTTTCATTGAAAACTTTCTATTATAAAAATTAAAAAAAATTGAAAAATAAGAAAGAGAAAGGAGAGAGTTTTTTATTTGAATTTTTTTGAGAAACTCATAAAACCACTTATTTCTCACGTATTGATTTAATTTTATATTTATAATTAAAAATAATTATATAATTAAAATTTATTAAAATACTAATATATTTTTTTTTGGAGAGACTAAAAAGAGTATCTTATTGTTGGAGATGATCATAGGTCTATAATAATTTTGCCTGCTGATTCTCCAGGAACAGTTGTTTTGCGCATCATTTAGTCAAATCACAGTTTTATTATCAAACCCAAATCTTCTTCGCTCTGCACTAAACAGAGGACTGAGAACAAGTGGATAGAGAAGGAACAGACACGTTGCGACACAAAACCATGCAATCTTCAGTTTCTGTTTCCTCGACGCGTGTCACTGTCTTTCTTTGTGTTTTTCTCCAACTTGTCTACACAGAAGTTTGGCCTTTCTCTCTCTCTCCGTCTCTGGTCCTTATTCTCTCTTACTCGCTTCTGAAATCTCCCATGAGTTCTTTGCTTTCAAAAGTTGTCGCAACCTAAACAGGTTTTTTCTTTTTCCTTCTTCTTGTTAATTACTTGGTTTTCATCAGTTTACACTGATTAAGTTCGTTATAGTGGAAGATAAAATGCCCTTAAAGCATTTTTCAGGATTTGTTTGATTTTTTCAAAGATATGAAACTGTGAGGTTTAATAGTGTTTCTTAAATGTGCTTGCATAAAGTTTTTTTTGGTCTGCATGTTATTGTTTTCCTCCAAATAACAAGTGATTCACTTGGGATTCAGAAAGTTGTTTGCTCAATATGTAACAGTTTTTTTTCTATGGAGAAAAATCATAGAAACAGTTGGTTTTGGCTTCTTTAATTTTGAACTAGGATTAAAACCTTTTTACTCGGTGTTCTTGGCAGAATTGAAGACAGTACCATGAGTCAAACAATGGAGGAGTATCAGTCTAATGAGAGTGAAGACAAAAGAAGTTGGATTTGGAGTAAGGCGTTAAGCGTTGGGAAGAAGGTTCTGACAGCTGGTGTCGTAGTGTCTTCAGCTCCACTTCTTGTTCCTTCACTTTTTGTCGCCTCGACTATCGCCTTCCTCTCCTCGGTTCCTTTTTGTTTCTTCTTGGCTAATTATGCTTGTACTCAAAAGGTCATGAGTACTCTGCTTCCTGATACTGAAGAAACCGGTGGAGTTGACAAGGAAGATGATGAATCTAGATTTGATGAGTACAGCAAGATTGGTCACCGTGAAGGCGCGGCTGAAGTTGGTGAGGCTGCACTTTTCATGGCTACGGATGAACCCATTCCCATTCAGGTTAAGGAAGATGAGGAGATGGCGAAAGAGTCAACGAGCTTGCTAGAGAAAATTAGGGATGAGGGTAGAACTGACAGAGAAACCTCTGAGAAAGAATTACAAGATGATAAAAAGTCCGGAAATGCCAAGTCAGAGGAGGTTCAAGAACAGCCTGAAAAGCGGGAAGCGCCTGAGACTGGACGTGAAGGTTGTTTATGATCACTATATAAAATTTATTTTTTGTGAAATAGTTTACTGATATTGATCGTTTTTGCAGGGGAACTTGGGGCCACAAAAACTGAAACTTCTACGGGCAAGGACGATGAGGAAACGTCTTCGAATGAGGTTTATACATAATCCTATCATCTTGTGAGTTAGTAGCTGAATGATAACATAACAGAATATCCCCTGCCTCTAGTTAAGTACTGGATAATTTCATTCTCAGTTTCTAATTTTCATGTATTCTAAGTACTGCTATCTTTTCTATGGTTAACATGATTATCTTCTTGAGTGACCCATTGGTCAGTAACAATTAATTTTCACTGTAAGGTTAAAGTTAGAAAAGTGTCCACATGGTTTTGGTAATTTGTGTTCATCTCTGTTAAAATCTCTCATTGACTAGTGCCAATGGTTCTAGATAACTGACTGAAATAATTGTAAAATCATTCTCTGATCTCTTGACTAATGGTTCAGCCGATAGACCAAGCTAGTGGGGCACAAGGAACCGGGGAAGAGAAACGAAAAAACACAACTAAGAAAAAGAAGAAAACCGGGCGTGCAGGTAACCGGTTTCTAAAATGTCATGTTATGGGTTGTTTAGTTTTGAATTCAGATTATCTGTTTGTTCATTGCTAATCTTTCTTTATGCCATTAGTTATAGACGCGTTGGTGGGAGATGTCTCGAGCCTGCTCTCGGAATGTTTATTTCGAGTGCGATGCTTTGTTAAAGTCAATTGCATAGTTAGGCATGTAGTAACAATTAACTCAAATCTGTGAATGTGGTGGGGGATCCAAATGACTTTTATTATAGCTTCAAGAACATGGCTCTGTTCTATATTGAGCTCGATTTTTTTAAAGCAAGTGTCAAAGTGATCCAAATATGTATGGTTTTGGATTTGCAGGTGTATAGTGAGGAGCAAATATGGGAGAAGATGGAGACGCTGAGGAAGGTAGTAGGATACAGTGTTGCAAGGAGTGCCACATGCGCAGAGGAGTTAAAGGCTCTCTATGTCTTCACCGGCGTGGTGGAGCCACCTCGCTCAAGTTTAAACAATGACACTCACGATATCGCACATCTTACTATTAGACTTCGCTTCCTCATGTCTGTTATCGGAATAAACTAGTTTGATGGTGTGTTTTTTGTATTAGATTGAGGACATGTGTTGTGTACTAAATCTCAACTTTGTATGTACTTTTATTGCGACTTTTGGTCCTAGTTTTATTAGTTTTGAATGTTTTCTAGTATTCATCAATTGGATTACACATTTACACTATTACTAACCTACAAGGTTATGAGCTCCGCGAGAGAGCGAAGTATTCAGATACTTACAATGACGGTTGCACAAGTAAAAGTGGAGAAAATCAGAAATGATCCTTCCTGCGACTGACAAGATCGCTAACCAGCTCATTCTCATCTTCACACTGTTCTAGCAGAGGCTTGTACGCTGGATTGTGCTCTACTACTACTCGTAAAATCTTTGCGGCTTCATCACTCTGCCCTTCTTTGTACAAAGCACTGCAATAACAAAAGCTTTTGATTTCACATTGCTCACAATTCTAGTATATATGCTTCTTTACCTATTTCCTAAACTCTCTATTTGTGTCACTTCTGTTCTGCTGTAAAAGTAGTACCTTGAAAGAAGCAGCAATGCCTCAAAGTAATTCTCTTTGCTTTTCGGATCACCGGGTTCTTTCAGTTTTGCTACTCTTTCCAAGTGTGTGATTCCGCTTTTCATTTTTCCCTGACAGAAACACCAAATCTCAACACCACCCAAATTCACCAGTAAAAGTCAATACAAACAACATTCACCAAATCAGTTTTTTCATGTGAAGAAATTTGCAGACAACATTCACAAATTCGATTTTGTCATGTGACAGAAATTTGCAGAACAAAAATAACAATAGTATCTAGCTTTGGGAAAATTGGAACTAAGCACAAAGGAGTTATTACTGACAATTGACATCCGATTTAGGACACTTTCATAACTATCTTTTTCGAAAAAGATGATTGGTCAAACCTGTTGTACGTATGCAGCACCAGCCCACTGAGATGCAAGCATTAAAAGTTCAACATCCTCAGCATCAGATGGATCCTCATCAAGAAGCTAAGAAAGAAACAAAAGAATTGTGCTGCTTAGTAAAAGAGTCTCAAGCTCTTAATCTTAATACCCAGTCAATAGTAAGAACCAACTAGATACGTTGGCAGAACAAGGAGATATAAATAAGTTGGTATGGTAAAACGTACAAAAAAAGTGAGTGATAGATATTAAACCACCGGAACCAGAAACCAGTTGACCTCAAGATTACAGAAAGGACTAATAAGTGATAAGTAGAAAGAGTAATGGACCGGAAATTCTAACCTTGGAGATAGCAAGCTCTAAATATTTAGTAGCTTCTGACAACTCTGTCTTCTGCAACAAAGCCTGCCCCATGAGAACCAAACCTCTTACATATCCAGGATCCTTTTCAAGAGCTAACCTGAAAAGAATAATTACACATGCAGTGAACATGGCTAGTACATGTAGGTAAAGAATAGTAGGGGACCAGGAGAAACGTCTTTGGAAAAACGCACCGAAGCAACTGAATGGATGTTTCTTTATCATCTTTTGACAAGACCTGAACTGAGAGCTGACACCAAATCCATTTAAGAAAAAATAAACATACACGTAGATGTTGATCAATAGTAGGTATTCATTTTCCACTACTTACAGAAAGAAGTTCTTCTGGTGTTAAAGTCTGTAGAGAAAGGGTATGCTCTTTTAAGTCAGAATCCACATACTTGATCACGGATTCACTGATCTCCATGGAATGCTCAACGCTTGGAGAGGCCCCTTGACTCAGTAAACCAAGTTTTGCTCCTACCGTAGGATGCTTGAGAGATAATTGCTGCAGAATTAAGATCTCTCGGTGAGGAATTGACGTACACAGTTTTACATCCTCTACCCAAAGTCAGTTCTCTATGAGCCACCGGTACAGTTGCTAACATAGTTCACTTTCACTATGAATCTTTTAAATCAATAAGTAAATCAGTGGACTAACAAAACTGTCTTTTAACGTTTGAATCTATTAAATTTAACAAATGCAGTCACAATTCACAAAACACATCTCATCAACATAGTAGCAACAATTCTGCCACGGCGAACATCCTATCTGTCTATTTTAACATTTTAGTTTGTTGTTTGGTCTTCAGTTGCAGAAAACAACATCTAAGCATGAGGGAAAAAAAACCAAGAAGTTAAATTTTCTCGACTTTATTTTAATTGAACGCAATTACCACCATTCTTAATTCCTCAATACTGGGAAGATAAAACAAGGAATATATCTTGCACAGCGAATTCCGAAATCTGACAAGATCGCATACCTGAAATATATTAACTGAGCTGTTGGTTACCCAATAGACAAGACTTCCCTGAAAAAGAAACGAAAAAGTCCTAGTTTCAGAAGAAAGATTGTGCCACAAAAACAGATGCATTAGTTCTGGCTTCATAGCAATAACACTCCGCAAAAGTAAAACGAGAAGCAAAAATGAAGGTCAATTCAGAATCTCTAGGAAAAAAAAGAAAAATGAAGAAATGCGTAGATAGAATAAACTTAACAAGAAGATTAGTGTCAGAATAATAACATGAATAAATAAACAGCACACACTGGCCCAAAAAAGAAGCAAGAACAAAGAAGGAATGCTAATTGGTAGAGAGATAACAAAAAGTCCAAAAGATAAAGATTTAGGCAAGATTAAGCGCTGAATGATGTCTAGAGTTAATGATAGATTATAATAAATAGCTGGGGAAAGGAATGGAGAAATCACTTACCTGTGGAATAGCATAGCCAACAAAAAACAGAGGAACACTTAAGATCTCCAGATATAACTTGTAATACTACAAACACAAAAAACAAGTATAATCTTGAGAATCTTGGCGCATAAAATATAATATTTATAACAAAAAGGAAACGTGGACATGAGTAACATCACTAACAATACCAATATATCTTCATAGTCCAAGCACGCAAAACAAAATTCTGTAAGACGTAAGTAACCAAGGCAGTAAATAAGACTTGTTCAACTCACTCTCATGAGCAGCCCGGTCAAGCCGGTAGTTTGACGAATTGTGGATGTATCAAAAGAAATCTGGAAAAGGATTAAAAGTTAGAAGCATACATACATAATACTACCACCTGCAATTTGAATACTCATTGGTAACAATACTGCCAAAAAAATTATCTAAGAGTAACAAGCATAATATTTCTCCCATCAACAGATATTTTCCAAGTATCGCAAAAAACCTGTATATTGATGTAATGGAAGGCAGCAATTAAAATTGGAAAGACTGGTCCAAAAGAGCCAACAGGAAGATCACTCAAATTCTGGAACCATAAGGCACCACCCTGCAAAGATAAGATACCAGCTCAGTCTCAGAAGCAACAGCCGGGAAATATGAAAGGACAGATTCAGGTCAGATATGCTTGAGGCCCACCTCAGAATACAGAGGTGTTAAATTTAATACTAGCACTAAGGTCTAGCTTCAATACAATTGTCCAACAACAACTAATTATACAAATAAAAAACAAGTCACAAATGAACGTTCGAGCATACATCTGACATAATAAAGATAAGTACACTTCAGCTATAAAGTACAAAAGGAAAATATAAGCAATGTAACAAGTCTAGTCAATCCTAAAACGTCGACCTAGCCTACGCTTGCCAACTCAGATTGCAGCCATCTAGACTGGCATTATTCATCAATTGCCACTTCCTAACTTAGATGCCCAGATAGATGTGCTAACTCGACCAAGAAACCCCCACGAGGAAAGGGGAAGAGAAGAGTTTGACTTGACCCCAAAGAACTGAAGAAGAATTAAAATTCTTTCCTTATCACAATCAAGACAGTTACAAATTTTCTCGTTTTCTAATTTGGTATGGACTTTTTAGACTGGATAACACTGTTTAGATTATAAGTAAACATACGTTAAGAGCCCACCCACCCAATACTATTCAAAGCTAGACTGTCTTAGAAGACCAAACTACTTTTCCCTTAAGCAATGCAAAGTACGACATAGTTCGCTCATCGTGCATACTTCTGAGTCTAATTTCTCTCCTGCTCTTCTTTTCTATATTTGGATTGCCTAAGAAACTGGTGCTAACCATTTAAATTTCTGCATATAATGATAGCTGTTGTCCCATTCGTTAAAACAAAACTAAAGTATTCCAGTTGACTCAGCATAACTAGGATTAGAAAAACAAGGAGCAGTGGCATAAAAAAATTGAGTAATTCAATCAGAAACAAAACCACCAGGGAAGCTGCTAGTTACCATCTGACAAGGTGGCAGGTTTTTAATGCAACTTTGTGGCTATACAAGTCATTCTTAATATGCAGTCTCAACTTACAGAATCAAAGCCAGGGTGACCATCTAGTGACATCTTCCGGATGCTAGCCATCAACAAGAAAAAGCATGGGAGCTGCAGATGATGAAAACCAAAGGGTAAGTGAGAATGAATATGATGCAAACACGTGACCTATTTATTAAATGTATCAACATAGAAAAGACCATATCATTTATAAAGAAAGCCAACGATCAAGTAACATGAAAGAATTTCATATAAGGTATAAAACAGATATACAAGCATGTACGATATGGATCTTTCTGCAAAAAGGTCAACTCTAATCACAAAGCAGAAGCTCTGTATGCTCCTCCTATACAGCTGTATAACTTCGAATCATCCACAAAATCCAATCTCATTGGTATGGCTCAATTCACTTAAGTGCACAAGGAAATATACAGAGAGAGCTAAGAGGAATAGAATGCCTATATCCAAGGGAAGAGTGCCAAAGTAAAGTGGTCAACAGAGTGTCTAAAAAAGACGACCATACAAAAACCCCAAGATAAAATATCAAGGCAGGACTGCTCTTGTCCAGATTTTCACAAAATCTTACAAACAAACCAGAATCACAAAGCACTCAATAGAAGAAGATGTTTTATACCTGGACCGATAAGTATGGGAAGAACCACAAAAAGGAGGGGCACCCAATAGCTCGACTCTCCTTAAGAAAATGAGAAAATTGGTCAATAGATCCTTTCAACGTAGGAGTCTCTGGGATCGGCATAGGCACTGTGTAGGAAATAAACAACATCAGGATTGGCTTCTAACTTCATCAACACCACACAAGAATATACAGAACCAATCACATAGCATGGACCATAATCAACACTACCTAGTAGAAAGGTAATGACTTTGCAAACTATAAAATCTAATTTAAAGTAGAGAAATAGCACTAACACTGAGGTAACAACTCAGAAATGGTCTTCAATTTCTTGAGTTGAAGTATAAGTAAAGGCAATAAAGCTAATCTAACAGCAACAGTAGAAGATGCAATAATCATCCACCATGGTAATCCTGTGAATTCATGAAACCCGTCGAGAAAATCAACGACGAAGAGAACGGGTAAAGAAGAATCATCGTTAGGGATTATGATTTCTTGAGAAATGATTGGGAATTCTGGGGAAGAAGAGATGAATCGGCGGAGAGGGGGAAAACACGGCGGCGATGGTGACGGCGAGGGAGAGATGAGAGGAGGAGGATTGGAGATGGAGGAGAAGAAGAGGGGAAAGAGAGTAGAGAAACGGTGACGAGAGGAGGAGGAGGAGGAGCGTAAACAAGTCCTCCACACTGCCATTTGCAAATTTTTTGCCTTAAAACCCAGAAGAGACGTCAACAAGGTTTTTGAGTTTGAGGTAAATGTTCGGTTTTGGTTCAAACACAAAAGCTGATCAATAACAGGTTTGGTTTCATTCTGTAAAGCTGAAACCGATAGGTTAAAGGAGATTCTTTTAATTTTTCTATAAAAAATCAATATTTTAATTTAAACCGAACCGAACCGAACTGAAATTTGTTAAATATACCGAAATTATCAAAAATAAACCTAAACTATATTCGGTTCGGCTATAATATTTTTTATATGAATCAATAGTGCCGGCTGAGATGGGAGGGCGGACAGTGTGATCGCCCCGAATCCAATCCCGTATTTTAATAATTAAAAAGTTTATTTTTAAAAATAATAATAATAATTCATTTATAAAGTGAAAATAACTTTGAAAGTGTCCTAATTTTTTTTTGTTTCTAATAACAAAATTTTTACCAAAAAAATTTATATAGTTAAAATTCTAAAAAAAAAATTAGAACAAAATTTTTCTTTTCTGCCATAAGTTTCATAATAATGTTGAGCCGATCTTGCTAACTATGACAAGCACACCTGCGAACTATGGAACAAGGTTTCCCTAACTTTTAAAATAAAAGAATTGAACAGAACCGAACCAAACTCCTTAATCAGCTCAATTCGGAACAATTTCCTCCGACTCGAATAAACTGAAGTTCCAAACTGAACCAAACCGAAACTTCTGATTATCCGGTCCAAGCCTAGTTGAACACACTTATTTGTTGAACTTTAAAAAAGGATAATAAATAGTGCTTCTTTTTCCGATTTTTGTTGGGGCCTTCCAAGCTAAATAGATAATTCATCCACAGGCAAGGCCATGAACGCTTTTTCCCTCCATTTACTCATACCGACGCCTGTTCATCTCAAATCCTCACGCGCCGCTTCACCATTCTTTTCACGCGCCTCCTCACCTTCATCTTTACGCGTCGCTTCTCCGTTAATTCTACGCGCCGCCTCCTCAGACGACTCACAGTCAGTCGAAAACCAAACTCTAGAGGTCCTCGAATGGCGTGCTCTCTGCAATCAGCTCGCTCCATTCGCCTCCACAACCATGGGACTTTCCGCCACCAAAAACGCCGAAATTCCGGTGGGAAATTCGCCGGAAGAGAGCAGGAATCTCCTTGACGAGACGGCGGCTGCGTTAGCGGCTATGGAGATGATGGAATCGCAGCGATTAGGTCTTTCTGAGATCCAAGACTTGTCTGATATCGTTGAGCGTGCTGTGGCCGGTCAATTGCTTACCGTTAGAGAGCTCTGCTCTGTTCGAAGCACGTTAATGGCGGCTACATCAGTGTTTCAGAAACTCCGAAAAGCAGCCATTAGTGATAAGAGGTGAAAATTTGCTTCTTATGTAGATGGTCTTATTGCTATTGAGAAGCTTATGGTTCTAGCTTTTGCATCTCTTATTTTGTAGGGTTACTCCACTTGTAGATATAGTTCAGGGTTGTGATTTCAAGGATACATTGCAGCAGAAGATTGGATTTTGTATCGACTGCAACATGTCTATGATTCTTGATAGAGCTAGTGAAGATTTGGAGATTATAAGATCTGAACGGAGGAGAAACATGGAGAAATTGGATTCTCTTTTGAAGAAAATATCAACTAAGATTTTTCAGGCTGGGGGGATTGATAGGCCCTTGATGACGCAGCGGAGATCAAGGATGTGTGTAGCTATTAGAGCGACGCACAAAAGTTTACTTCCAGGTGGTGTTGTTTTAAGTGTTAGTAGCTCAAGGGCAACGTGCTATATAGAACCGAAAGAGGCAGTGGAGCTTAATAACATGGAAGTGAGACATGCAAACTCTGAGAAAGCTGAGGAAATGGCAATTTTGAGCATTTTGACATCTGAAGTGTCAACGGCGCAGAAAGATATATTGCATTTGTTAAATAGAATACTGGGACTTGACATTGCTTTCGCAAGAGCATCACATGCAAAATGGATGAATGGTGTCTATCCCAACGTAACTTCAGAACACACTAAAACAGCGGGTTTGGGTGGAGACCATAAATCATTATCTGTAGACATTGATTCTGCGCAGCACCCGCTACTTCTTGGTTCAGTATTAGGCAGCCCAAACGATGGAATGATATTTCCTGTGCCAATAGACATTAAAGTTGAAAGCAGAGCCAAAGTAGTCGTCATCTCGGGTCCAAACACAGGAGGAAAGACCGCTTTATTAAAGACATTGGGATTAATATCTCTTATGTCCAAGTCGGGGATGTATTTGCCTGCCAAGAATTGCCCAAGGTTGCCTTGGTTTGATCTTATTCTGGCTGATATCGGGGATCCGCAGGTATAACTTTTATGAATTTCTTACAAAGTAATAGAGCTACTAACGTCTTAATTATATTCCTATCGATGTTAACATGTTGCGAACAAATCTAAAGGATCTAATATGCTTTGCTGGTTCGAGTCAACATATACTTCTGAAAATTCCTGCTTGTATTTTTTTTTCTGAGAATCCTTCTTAATTTCTTGCATAGCTTTTCAGTTTAATAATTTTATTTTACAAACTTTTATCTGCAGTCTTTGGAGCAAAGTCTGTCAACCTTTAGTGGCCACATCTCACGGATACGTCAGATACTTGACATTGCTTCAGAAAATTCGCTTGTCCTACTAGACGAAATTTGTAGTGGAACTGATCCTTCAGAAGGGGTTGCACTTGCTACTAGTATCCTACAGTATATTAAAAACCGTGTTAATGTGGCTGTTGTATCAACGCATTACAGTGACTTAAGTCGCTTGAAGGATAATGAGCCTCAATTCCAAAATGCTGCAATGGAGTTCTCCATGGAAACTTTGCAGCCTACATTCCGAGTACTCTGGGGAAGTACTGGTCTATCAAATGCATTGAGAGTAGCTAAGTCCATTGGTTTCAATAAAGGAATATTAGAGAATGCACATAAATGGACAGAGAAATTAAATCCGGAGCAGGATGTAGAGCGGAAAGGCTCACTCTTTCAGTCCCTTGTGGAAGAAAGAAATAAGCTAAAGCTTCAGGCATCTAAGACTGCAGCTTTTCATAGAGACTTAATGAACCTTTACCACGAGGTATTGCTTTTCTGTTATTTTCACGTTTGCATGTGACGCAGTCGGAATATCTAGGAATAGCAAACACTATGCCTAGATAGAAATCAAGTTCGCAAGCGTCGAACTTGAAGGATTGAAACTCTGGAAATCCACCAGATTTGAGAAAAGCTCTCTGCTTTATTAATTAGAATGATAAAACGTGTCTTGCAAATAACCTAGGATCTCTCTTTATATAGAGAAGAAACCAAAACATAAAATAGAAAACTCTAAGCAAAATAGAAACATGAAATAAGGAAATATCAAAAGAAAAGTAAAACTACTAAAACTAAGTCCCTCCTACGCCAGCATGTGTGACCATAGCACTGTAGCATTAGCATGTGGTAGATGTAAAAAAGGTCCTTAAGAAATCCTATTTTTACTTGATGAGTTGAATCATGTTGTTTGACACCCCTCTCGAGTTAATGTCGTAATGAGAGAAATGATTGCACAGATAGTCATATTATGTAGTAGATATATCAGTTTTGTGGTGGTTGAAATTTTAAACTTCTTGGGGGCTGAGATCTTGACCTTTTTAAGGGTTCTTTTAGAGACACATTAGATGGATATTTGTCTTACTTCTCGAATCTGATTTCCACAGTTAAATTGTCATTTATGATTTTGTTTTGTTGCTATTATTTATCTTTTGGAATGTCGGTTTCTGTTCCTGATTTTTCTCCCCTTTGTTATCCTGAAGCTTGAGCATGAGTCGCATGATCTTGAAAAACGTGAGAGGGCTCTTCTGAAGAAAGAAACCCAAAAGGTACAAGAAGATCTAAACTCTGCTAAGTCAAAGATGCAGAGACTGGTGGCTGAATTTGAAAGTCAACTAGAAGTCACTCAAGCTGATCAATACAATTCCTTAATTCTGAGAACCGAAGAGGCAGTTGCGGAGATTATTGAAGCTTGCTGTCCTAATGATCTTGTATCCGTGGAAGAAGAGTATAGTAACTACTCGCCACAAGCTGGTGAAAAAGTTCTTGTAACTGGACTTGGAGATAAGTTAGGTACTGTGGTTGAAGAACCTGGAGATGATGAGACAGTTCTAGTCCAGCATGGTAAGATAAGAGTACGCATAAAGAAAAAGGACATAAAGCCCCTTCCTCGTAGCACAAGTAGCCAAACATCCAATCGTTCTCTTCGTTCAAAGAGACAGGTATACATCATTTTCTGAGTTAAGACTTTTCAGGTCCCATTCTTGCAGTATCTCATTATGAAACCTAACCATATTAATATGTCATAATAAATACTAGGTTGAAGAAAATTGCACAATGAAAATGAGGCTTAATAGTAATAAAGTTGAAAGTCTTTACTTTATAGGGCTATTTGCTAATGTTCAAAATAGTGAACTTTTGTGTAACAGACAATGTAAATGGTTGTGGATCCTCAAAGAATAAACCACCTGACTTAATCTGTGTTTTTTGGAACATCTGAGATGACTTTAAACATCTGATACAAGCTCAACACTCCCTAGTTGAACTACAAATCTACCATTTTGAAAATTTGTGATTCTGATAGTAATATGTTGATTTGAGTTATAACATCAGTTCGTTGTGGTGCCTGATAATTGCACAGATAAACATGAAAGAGCTAGGCAGTGTGTTGCAGATGCAGAGCGAACCAGTGCGGATTCAAACGTCAAAAAACACATTGGATCTAAGAGGAATGCGGGCAGAAGAAGCGGTTCACCAGCTAGACATGGCCATCTCAGGAAGAGACTCGGGGTCGATCCTCTTTATCATTCATGGAATGGGGACAGGCGTTATAAAAGAGCTGGTGCTTGAGAGGTTAAGAAAGCACACTCGTGTCTCAAGGTATGAACAGGCAAATCCTATGAACCATGGATGTACAGTTGCTTACATTAAATGATATCTCTGTGAAACAAATTCTTTGTAAATCTTCTTCGAAAGTGTGGTCCACTAACTAGTTTCAATAGTGAATCAACTGTTGAAATGTATAGTTATTGATTTTGTACTGTAGTTTTATAGTAATTCTAGGATACCACACGGACACGAGTCCCTGGAGAACCCTCGTGGAGATGTACGACTGTGTTCTTCCCTATTTGGCGCAGTGATGGCTATGGCTACAACACAAAAACAGAGGCTTTTGTGTTTAAGTTTTCTAAATTTGTATTCGGATAGCTTAGCGTAGAAAAAGAGTAACTAAAAATTGAATTAATGAAAGGTCCTAAAGAGGTTGTATTATATTAAAAAAAAAAAAGTACTGAGAGTTTCTTTAAATGAAGTCCGTTCGGTTTATCGATGATGTTGTGGTGTATTCTCAACATATTGGTTTGTTAGTTTTTTTTATTTAGTTATTGAAATTTTTTTTGAAGTTTCTAAACACAAGTTCTGTTTGTTAAAACAAAGAGGAAAAAAACAAAAAAAACCACAAAAAAAAAAAAGAAACGAAGAAAAAGAGAAAGAAGATGAACAATACTTTTTATATATTTTTGGTATGAATGTAAATTTATTCATATAAAAAGTTTGTGTACATTATATGCATCCTTATGCTGAGAGGTTTAGACCATAGTTTCAATTACTTGAAATAGAGAAAACATTAAGTAGAGAACTGGAACTCGTTGGACCCTAGAAGCCCCTCATTGCGTTAAGTTTCTTCCAGTTTGCTATTGCTCTGTTTCGAGACTGTCAAAGAGCGATAATACCAACTGTTTAAGGTAATTTCTCAGTTCATATGAAATGAGATTAATTTACATATGTTGTGCATGTCAACTGGTAAGGAAGTCTAAACAGTTGGTTCAATCTTTAGAGCATCTCCAATGCTCATCTATATATTTTCCTCTATTTTAGAGAAACTCTATTTTAGAGGAGATTTTGCTCCAATGTATCCCTCTAAAATAGAGGAGAGAGACATTGGATTGCTCTATATATAGAGGCATGCATTGTCTTTCTCCTCTATTTTAGAAGAAACTCTATTTTAGAGGGATGCATTGGAGCAAAATCTCCTCTAAAATAGAGAAAAATATAGAGGTGGGCATTGGAGATGGTCTTAGAGAGCAAAACTAACATGACTAAGATACTGTCGGGAACTTGACAAAATATGAAGTTGTCTCTTCGATGGTTACTATAACGCTCAAGTAAAAATTTAAAACACACTACTAGCTAATTAATTGAATACGAAAGAATAATTAAAAGAAACTGGTGCTAAACATGGTTGATAATCTGGTTGCAGAGCAATTTGCTTTCTATGAACTTAAAAAGAAGAATAGTTTTTGGAAAGTGAATAAATAGTTTTGAAAACGTTAAAGCCATGTAATTGAACTAAGCAACAAAATCTAATCCCAACCAAAGAAATTATAAAACTATTTGATACACTAGTTATTTTTATTCATATAAAACAAAATACTAAAATCATAACATGCAACTTAGTGATTTGTACTACTAGTGTTTGTCGATTTTGTATAATATTAATTTATTCACAAAAGAAATTTGGGAGCTAGATATTTATATACGCAATACTATATGTAACAGAATTTCAGTTTTTAAGAAATTAAATAAAAACAAATAAAAAAATAGACATGCAAGAGTATAAAGGAAAATATGAAACCTACCAAACCAAAACGACCCTCCATTCCTCTTCTAACAGCCATTCCCTCTACCTACCCCCAATTTCTTCTCCTTGATCTCTCCCTCTCCCCTACACATATTTATTTCTTCACTTTTCTCATATTTTTATTTTATTTTATACAAAACTCTTCTTTCATCACCACCTACACACGCACATTTCTATATATTATTTACATAAATTCATTTCCAAAAATCAAAGAGAGACTAATCAAACAAACACATTCACATTCCTCTTCTTCTCAAAAAAAACAAATACATCAAAATGATAACTGCAGCTCTACACGAACCTCAGATTCACAAACCAACCGATACATCCGTCGTCTCCGGCGATGTACTTCCTCCTCCTCCTCCTCCAGCTCCTATGCCTCGCATTTTCCGGTCAAAGCTTCCGGACATTGACATCCCTAACCACCTACCTCTCCACACTTACTGCTTCGAAAAACTCTCATCTGTTTCCGACAAGCCTTGTCTCATTGTTGGCTCCACCGGAAAAAGCTACACCTACGGCGAAACACACCTAATCTGCCGGAGAGTCGCTTCCGGATTATACAAGTTAGGTATCAGAAAAGGTGACGTCATCATGATCCTTCTCCAAAACTCAGCCGAGTTCGTCTTCTCCTTCATGGGTGCTTCCATGATCGGAGCCGTCTCAACCACCGCAAACCCTTTCTACACTTGTCAAGAGATTTATAAACAACTTCAATCTTCCGGAGCCAAACTCATAATCACTCACTCTCAATACGTCGATAAACTAAAAACCCTCGGAGAAAACCTAACGGTGATCACCACCGATGAACCAACACCGGAGAATTGTCTACCATTCTCTACACTCATCACCGACGACGAGACAAACCCATTTCAAGAAACCGTAGATATCGGCGGTGACGATGCGGCGGCGCTACCATTCTCATCGGGAACAACAGGGTTACCAAAAGGAGTTGTTTTGACACATAAGAGCTTAATCACAAGCGTTGCACAACAAGTAGATGGAGATAACCCAAATCTTTACCTCAAATCAAACGACGTCCTACTCTGCGTTTTACCACTTTTCCATATCTACTCTCTGAATAGTGTCCTCCTCAATTCACTCCGATCCGGTAATTAAACGACGTCGTATATACCTTTCATTACATAATCTTTAATGTCTTGTTACTGTTACCTAACTTTTAAACCATTCCTTTAATAGGCGCGACGGTTCTTTTAATGCATAAGTTTGAGATCGGTGCGTTATTGGATCTTATTCAAAGACATAGAGTGACAATAGCGGCGCTTGTACCGCCGCTAGTGATCGCTCTAGCTAAAAACCCGACTGTTAACTCTTATGATCTCTCCTCCGTTAGATTGGTTCTCTCCGGTGCAGCTCCTTTAGGTAAAGAACTTCAAGATAGTCTTCGTCGCCGTCTCCCTCAAGCCATCCTTGGCCAGGTCTTATCTCTGTCTCTGCTTATTTTGACTCTGTTTTGAGATCCTTACTTTTTCAATTTACACTACTAATTTAGCGGGAACTAACCATTTTAAAAATCCAACAAGCATTTTAACTCAATTTTATTATTTTGATTCTATAATATTTTTGATGAAAATGAATAAATTAAAGTTTTGAATAATTTTGCTAAAAAAATAAAAATGGGAGTAGAATGCACGGGAAGAGAGTGAAGAGTGAGTTACGTCTATCTATTCGGCATAATTCTGGTTACGTACGGTCCAACTATTTTTTCTCAAGTTAATTTCGCATTGCATTTTCATTTTGTTTTCTAATCTTATTATTTTTGTTTAATGTATTTTAATTAATGAAACAGTTGTTGTAGTTTAGGTTTTGACTTTGGACCAAAAAACTAAATTAAAAACGGATATGATTTAGGTCGCAGCTACAAAGGATACTGCATCTAATTCATCTGACTTTATTTCACATCAATTTTCACTTTTTTTTTCTGATAATATTTTTTCACATGATTTTTTAAAAAAAAATTGAATTTCGAGAGCTTTCTTTTTCTCAAAGATAATTATTAAGATAAGTTCTACTACTTCCAGGTTAAATAATAGTACCATTTACATTTTACTACATTTATAGTATATTATTATCAGAAGCATTGAAAATCTTAGACGAGAATTTTATTATTCATTAATAAGTTTTTTGCTAACTGCTTTATTAAATAGAGAAAAAAAGTAGATGCGGGTCTCGAGATATGAAAACTCTTTGTGTTGCCAAACCAAAAACTAGGAGAGGAGTAAGAAAAACACTGTATGTGACGTGGTCACGTTTGCGTTCACACACACTAACACACATCGTTTTCGTTTTCGTTTTTTTTTTCTTGTTTCCTTTTTCCATTTATTTTATTTTGATAACTTCGGACATAAGCCCAATTAACTCCTACTTACAAGGAGATTACTAGGTTTGGAACTTAGACATCGTGAGATGGAATCATTATTGGGTGCATCTAGCCAAAGCCAAACACATCCTTTTCTTAAAAAACACACACACACATCAAATGGATCATCAAGAGTTATTATATACAAGAAAAGATTTCTACACCACAAAGTCAAAGTCTATGTAACCTAGAATTAAATTAAAATAAGTTTTCATAACGTTTATGTAACCTATAGTATTTCAATAACTTATCTTTATATATGGAATCCATATATATATATATATTTATATTTATTGGAGCAACCTCGTATAGGCGAATAATTTAATCTTTGCTAATTAGTACATGTCAAAAGTGTAATTAGTAACGAGTGGATTTTATGAAGAACAGGGATATGGTATGACGGAAGCAGGACCAGTGTTGTCAATGAGCCTTGGGTTCGCTAAAGAACCGATGCCGACAAAATCAGGTTCATGTGGGACTGTGGTCCGAAACGCAGAGCTTAAAGTGGTTCACCTTGAGACACGTCTCTCTCTTGGTTACAACCAACCTGGTGAGATTTGTATCCGCGGTCAACAAATCATGAAAGGTTCGTTTATTGTTTTTTATCTCTTTTGAGGACATTTAAGTTGTGACAATGAAAGCTTTAATACTCTTTCAATGAAAAATTACATTATAATAGAATATCTAATATAATCTAAATGACTATAATAAGTTTATGGCAAAATAAAAAATAAAAATTATGGTGGTTTCGGAAAACATATATATATATATATATATATATATATATATTTATATTGATATTATTTGATTTGCAATTCGCAAGCAGAAGAGAAAACATATTTAATTCCTAGCAAAAAAAAAAAAAAGTTTAATAGAAAAAATAAATTTATCGCAAATTATCAAATCTTACAATGTGGTTTTTTTTTTCAATTATACAGAATTTTATTAAGTTTGCATCACATGTACATTTGTACTACATGCATATTATTTCTGAAGTACATATATCTCCACGACGTCATTTACGTTTTGATACACGTGACATGTCTTCTTCATAATTCCTAGTAAACAAATCTTGGGGAGTTTACAAAAAAAATATATATATAAAGATTAAGTGTACAAAGTAGGGCAATTTCCACTAATTAATAATTAATTTTTGACTATTAAAAAAGTGTTAGTAAATTTTTCAACTAATAACATTTGGCTCACAGAGTACTTGAACGACCCAGAAGCCACTTCAGCAACAATTGACGAAGAAGGTTGGCTTCACACAGGAGACATTGGGTATGTTGACGAAGATGATGAGATTTTCATTGTTGATCGGCTTAAAGAAGTCATCAAGTTCAAAGGCTTTCAGGCAAGTCCATTCATATAAATTGAGTTTTTATTTAATGTTAAGATCATCTTGAAATCACGGTATGATGATGATGAAATGTGAAAAAACAGGTCCCTCCAGCTGAGCTAGAGAGTTTGCTCATCAACCACCATTCAATTGCGGATGCTGCTGTTGTTCCGTAAGTTTCACACTAACATGCATATTTGAGTGGTAAGTAGTGTAAAAACGGCACCGTTTTCTTAAAATCTTCTTCGACATGTTCAGGCAAAACGATGAAGTCGCCGGGGAAGTTCCGGTGGCTTTCGTGGTGCGATCAAATGGAAATGATATCACTGAAGAAGATATCAAAGAATATGTTGCCAAACAGGTACAAATCTTTCTTTCTTTCTTTTTGGTTAAATACCATTTGGTGTATTATTGATGAGTATGTGCTTGTTTACTTGCTTTGTTAGGTGGTGTTCTATAAGAGATTGCACAAGGTTTTCTTTGTTGCTTCCATTCCTAAATCTCCTTCTGGAAAAATTCTGAGAAAGGACCTCAAAGCTAAACTTTGTTGAATGTAATTTTTTTTCTAAAATATATTTCATTGATGATTTAAACGTTCATTTGTATCCACAATACTCGTGTCTTTTTTTAGATCCTTTGATGTAATAGATGTTGGACACTAAGAGTGTACTTAAGAAACTGAATTATTTTGGATCAGTTTATTTCAATGATTTTTCTTTTATCACTGAACATTAGAAAATGATTAAAAAATAATAATAATAACAAATCATCTATAACATTATATATATATAACAACAGAAATATGAAACGTAAAGAAGTAGAGTACTCTACGACAATAGCGATTAGCGATGGTGATATCCTAGTTTTTCAAATTTGTGGAGAGATATAAAGTCTTCTTTTAAATTTGTGGAGTGATAATGCAGCCACCTCAATCTTTTTCAGTCATAAAATTGACATAATGATTATTATAACTATATAAGAAAAAGTGTAAATTAGCATAAACATTTTATTTATAGATCCCCAATTTTGTCGCATGGCTGCAATCTCACTTGAGCTAGAGAGTTTGCTCGAGGCATCATCATATCGACACATTAAACTTACACCACTGAAATCTTGGAAGAAGGTTAATGGAATTACTGACCACCAAATTTGAAGGAATTACCAACCACCAAATTTGGTGTTCTTGGTGTCATTGGAAAGGTAGAAGAATCACCTTTTCACATCCAAGTAGTTCGAGTGAGACTTGGTATAGAGGTGGTTAAGGAAAGCTGATATGCATTCTTTCCATGTCATGATTGAGAAAAGTGGAAGAGACTTCAACCATTTGTTGGTTTTCTCACTTAGAGACAATGGGAAAAGCTTGCACACAAAGTAGTCCTCAGGAATTTCATTCGATCTTGTGGTGATGCATACTTTTTCAAAGAGCTCAGTGTGGTCCACTGGATGCTCTGTAGACAGACCATGAAACTGAATTTCATTTAATCAAGCGATAATCTGAGGTTTAATTACGTATTTTTGCCCTTATGGTGGTGAACAAATGTTTGCTCGGTGTTACGAGTAGATTTTATCTATAAATTTTATATCTTTAATAATAACCGCAAGTGTACAGGCGAACACAATAATACTGGGATCGAATCCACAGACACCAAAGAAACACGAAAAAAAATTAAACTAAGCTAAGACAACATGGAGTTACAAGAACTAAGGGTGTTTTGCATATATAAAATAAAAAAATAAATATAAATAGATAATAGATAAATATAAGAAATAGAGATCAAAGAATTCATCAGAGAATATATGAAAGACATATAAGTTCGATTATGATTCTACACTATCCTTGAAATCAGACTTCTAATTTGAATTATCGTAAGGGTGTATTAGTGATAAACCTATGAAGGACTTACAAAGCTTCATAAACCTTGGTTAAGCTTGGTTCTAAGTAATTCAGTCACGCATTAAGAACAAGATCCAATAAATTCACAAAACCTTATGATCTACAACTCTTGGTGAGGTTGGTCACATATGTTTTGCCTATCTAATAGTAGATCCATCAAATTAAACACCATGGTTAGGCTTGATGAATAAGATCATGGGCAATAGGTGAATTGGTCTAATTCATCTTAGGCTTTAAGAACAACAAAAGATAGAGGACAATTAGAGATCATAATAGAGAAATACACTTAGATCTAACACACAATTGATCTCTTTGGGGATTCCAACCGATCGACGGGAGTGCAAGTCGATCGGTACATATCGGTGAGGTGCAATACCAATAGGTAGCACTCCATGATAGGACTACTCACACATGACCTAGGTACATGTGATCATTGTAGAAGAAGGACCAAGAGTATTAAAGAAGATGTACCAAAGGTTTTAGAAAACTTAAAGGAGAAACAAAGAAATCAAATTAATAAAAGAAGAAAGAAACTCTTTAGAACTAGAAAATCGTTATATTTTACAAGCCTCTGCGGCTAGAATACATGGGATATTTATAGAGAAGAGAGACGGTGCCCTAGAGGAGAAAAAATTAATTTTACAAATCCCAACCAATCGACTAAGGTGCCAAACCAATCGGTACTCCATTCAGATTATACCGGTCGGTCCTCATCTGCTAGCCAGCTTGACCGGTCTTCGGTAAGCTGGCCACAACTTCTGATCGCACTGATACCTAGGAAGAAGGATGGGGATATAAAAGAAAGGTGAAGACTTCATCTTCTACATGGCTCAAAAGTAACAAATCAGTTGTGAACCCTAGTATATCTGAGATGAGGTAATAGTGTCATGTTACTATGGTTTGATTTTTCAAAAAATCAAGAGTTGAGCTGAATTCCAAAGATTTTACTTAGAAAAATGAAGTGGAGAAAGATCGGATTCATCTGCTGGAGATTTTGTGCCGCCATTTTTGTTATGTCGGTGAAGAAATTTTGTAAGAAACCTCGAGTAGAATATGCGCCAGAGTGGAGAAGAAGTAACTATAAATTTTATGTTTTGCTTTTTAATTGTTTATATATATATCGCTATTTTTTTAATTATATTTTTTTCATAAAATTTGCTGGTTATTTGTCAAGTTTAAATAAATTTAAACGAAATATAAAACTACAGATTAATTAGAGTTGGTTAGAGAACTTCATCTTGTTATATATACGAGAAGAAGCAACAATATGTTGGAATGAAGCTATCAAGATTTATACATTGCCTTATAAATCCTTATAAAGATTTATAAGACGTGTCTTGTCATCATCTGTATTTACTACGTTAGCTCTTCTTCCTATTAACTTCTTTGAATGAATCTAATAGGTTCCTTTCTCTCCTCCATGCACTTAGGCTTCTCCCATAAATGCTTCCTCTTAATCTGAAAACGTTTTTTGATATTCATGATTTTTATATAGGAATTGCTCTAGAACCTAAAAACTCAAGCATGGAAGGACAAGGTAAAGAAATATGTCCAATTTTTCTTACTTTGATAATTTCCTTAGTCTGAATCATTCTAGGTAGTACTTTGATTATATTTTCATTCTTGATTGGTTACTAAATGATTCTTCTTAATCATCAATCATCATAGGTTTTGTTTGATATGTGAATTAATCTCAAAACGTTTTTTTGGTATATATTCAAACTCACTTTCAAGATATTTCAATAGGAATTGCTCCACAGCGTAAAGACTCAAGTATGGAGTGACAAGGTAAAGAAATCTATCCCATTTTTCTTACTTTTATCATTTTCTAAGTCTGGCTTGAAGCTTTCTGTTCTCTCTATGTTGATTTCTGAATGTTTGTAGACACAATTTGGGTTTCTCTCAAGATTTTCTCACCTTCCTGACATATTCCCCGAATTCTTTGATGTAAGTTGAAGCTCATTCTTGAAAATTTTGCACTTTCCACGCACTTGTGTATCGTCTTTGCTTTTGTGCACTTTTTACTTGTGTATCGTCTTTGCTTCTGAGAATATGGATATATGTATTTCACTCAATTAATAACTTAAATGTAGGATATATTGTTACACCAAATGATCCTTTTTCCTCGAAAAATCTTTCTTTTTAACAATAAAATAATATCTCTCTCATAAATATCTTTGTTAAATCTTTTCCGGCTCACAAAACATTACTTTAATAAAATCTCACCATTTTTCTCCTTTTTTAAAACTCGCAGAAGGTTGGCTTTCAAAAAAGTGATGATGGATCTAACGGTAAGAAAAGTGATGATAGATCCAGCGGTAAGAAAAATGATGATGGATCCAGCGGTGAGAAAAATGATGATGGATCCAGCAGTAAGAAAAGTAACGATGATTTCAAACGTAATGAAGATCCCCCAACCCACTTGGTTCAAGGTGGCCAAACTCTTAGCAACAAGACTTGTCTACATCTTGGTCAAGAGGTCATGTGAGAAGAGTGCCAACCGTAAAGATAAGTTTATCATCCTTATGAACAAGTCTCAAACAAAGAGGCTCCTAGGGGTGAACCCTTCTATTCACCCTCACTTTTTCTAAAAAAATCAGAATCTACCACCTAATAAATAAATAAGTAAAATTAATAAGTTGTATATCGGTTTGGGTTTATAAGAGAGAGTTAGGCTTATATTTTATAATTAAATGAGGTTAATTATCGGTTTGGGTTTATAAAAAAGAGTTTGGATTTCAATTAAACGTTGTGGTTATATGTCGGTTTGAGTTTATAAGGGATGGTTAGTGATAACATCGTATTTTAGCCCAGTTTTATTATGTTTTATTAAGGTTTTTCATGGAGAAAATAAGAGATATTGGAGATTTCAAGGACGTTTCCAAGTATTTATGCTTCAAGGATGAATAATGAGTTTTCAAGTAAAAAGGAGTAAAAGTCGATCAAATCCCGTTTTAAGACAGTTTCTGTACCTCAGAAGTATGGCGTCCGTTCGATATCTTTCCGATTACCAAATCAAGAGATCTCAGTGGCTATGGAAATATAGAAGAGTCAGGATTTGCCTCAAAGTAGAATCAGAGCTTTTCATTGAGCAATTCGGAAGTTATGCCCAGAGGAGTGAAGACATGTCCCGGACCGGCCAGACAGCCTTACACCCGGTCCGGCGCCTCTTGGAGCCCCCGGTCGTAGAGCCCGAGCCCGGGCTGGCCTTCACACCTCACCCCGGTCATACCTAGTCGTGCCCTGTCCAGAAGCTCGAGCCTCACTTAACCTAATTCGTGGGAAATGACGGTTTGCCCCTTGACCTAATCGAAGCCTATAAATACCGAGACAAGTTGAAGAAACCCTACGGCCTCTCACAGCTTTCTCACCGCCTCCTAAACTTAGATCTCACAGCCTCCATCGACGAGACTCTCAACTCTCCTAGCTCCACCTCGTCGAAGCTCCTGCCATCGAAGAAGTCGTCCTTTGAAGCTCTCTCCTTTGTTCTTCATTGTTTTCTCTTCTACTCTTTCTTCTACTCTTTCTTTCAAGACTTTTGGGGAGACAAGTATCTTCTGTGACACTAGAGAAGTCTTCTTTGAAGCCCCTTTGTTTTATTGAATTCTTTTATTATGCTTTTCTACTTCATCTCCATGTCGTTTCTTAGCATCATGAGCGAGTAGTTTTCTTTGTTGGGTTTTATGGGGTGATTCAAAGGGGATTCATGGTTCAAATCATATTAGGTTTATAGATCTATTATTTCTTTCATACTTAGATTCTTTTGGGACATCTTTTACTTAATGCATGTGTTTGGAT